AAAAGTATCTGTCTATTAAGTAGGGCTAACTTTTTAAGGAACAAGAATATTGATTAAGATTTAGATGATTCTGTTTTTGATTAATTGTTTGCCTCATGATAATTCACGAGGTTTTAAAAAATAGAATAAAACTCAATAAAGTTCCTCTGCACGGAAATCTTTAGTAAAAGGCGAAAGATTTATACGTGATGCAGAGAAACCAGAGGTGACTTACCAATAGTTTACTCTTGATTTTAAACGTAGGCAATACACCAACAACACTATGGTGTCGAAATTTCAAAACATCAGAAAATACATACGATTTACTCGCAGAAAACCTGAATAGTTTTAAATTTAGCCCAAGCAGCAATAGACCAATAAATATTAACTTTTATTTCAATAAAACAAGTTTCTGATGAAAGTAATACGATGATTCACAGCTAACAACAATAAGTAGGCCTATGTTAATTAGTTGAGAAATGAAGATATGATTAGAAATTACACACAGTAAGATTCTATTTATCCTTACACGTGCAAAATGTTTTATTTTAAACCAAAAATATAAGTAACATTAGGCCTATATTTATTTATATAATATACTAGCATTTATTTGTGCATTATTTTTTTTTAAATCTCCTGCAACAATTAGAAAACGTCTATTACAGAAATGAAACCGAACTTTCGTGCACCGAATTCAACACTTGTACTTGTACTCTAAGTGAATATTAAACAAAGAACAACGAGAACCATGAGAAACTGAAGGAAAAGCAAGACACGCAGAACAACACTGTGTGTTGTGTTCAAGTGACAATTTTGTTATTTTTTTTGCGTCTTTACACTGCAGCTTTTCCATTGGTTCACATGTGCGCTTATTGCGTAACATGGTTCCTGATGATGACATAATTAATGTCGAAATATTGAATCCCGACACGATGGCGTGCATTTCAGTACTTGGAGTATGTATTATACTTTCTTTGATACTTTCTTGCGTAACATGTCGTATTCGTAAACGTAAATACATAAGATTTACTCGCAGAAAACATGAATAAATTTAAATTAAGCCCAAGCAGCAATAGACCAATTAATATTAACTTTTATTTAATTAAAACAAGTTTCTGATGAAAGTAATATGATGATTCACAGCTACCGACAATAAGTATGTTAATTAGTTAAGAAATAAAGATATGATTAGAAATTACACACAGTAAGATTCTATTTATCCTTACACGTGCAAAATGTTTTATTTTAAACATGTCGCTTATTGTGTAACATGATTCCTTAAAATGACATAATTAATGTCGAAATATTGAATCCCGACACGATGGCGTGTATTTCAATAC